GTTGTTGGTTTGCTGAAGAGTAAAAAAAAAACCGAATGACCGATACGAGGAGCCGGGAGTCATCCCGGCTGTTGTCGATCGGCAGCCGATGAAGGCGCACACCCCCCTCTCCCCTCCCCTCCCCTCGCAAGCAAAGGGGTGGCAACGCCACCAAGAGCGCCCCGCGCGTTTGCTCGTGACGGGGCATTGCGGTCGAATGCGGCGTGAGACGGCGCGAGCGAATTTGTCAAAGAGCGACGGAGGGGTTGGAGGCGTTGGAGGAGGAGGAGGAGGAGAGAGAGAGAGAGAGTGCTGGGGCGGTGACGTCGGCGGGGTAGGAGGCTGGGGGGGGGGGGGGGGTAGGAGGAGCTGGGGGGCAGGGGCTGTTTAGCCCCCCCCCCCACACACACACAACCCTCTGTCTCTACACCTCCTGCCACCGCTCCGTAGACACTCGCGCTCTTTCCCTCTAGACCCACCCCCCTCCCACCCCACGCCCCCCACTGCCCCCCCCCCACTGCTGCCCCCCCCCTCCCCACTCATCACACCAACCGCGAGTCGCTTGCTGAACCTCCTCCTCCTCCTCCTCGCCGAGAGAGATGTCGCGCTCGCCATTGGCCAGCGCCTCCGCGCTAAAGGCTGCGCGCTTCCTCTAAACGCTGTGCCGCATTGCGCAAAATCGCGTCACTGCGAGAGTGGGGGGCGGTGGGGGGCGGGGGTCACGTGGGTACCCCCCCATCTAAATTTTTTTGTTTCATTATTTTTTTCTCTTATATATTTTTTTTTGGGGGGGGGGGGTGGGGAGGGGGGTAAACTTCATCCGCATTCTAACCGCATCATTCCCTCCCCCCCCATCCCATCTCGCACCCCCGCCTCCATCCCCTCCATGCACGGGCTGAGCAGTGAAAACTTCACCGGCATGACAATGAGAGGATGGATCAGTTCGCGCTATGCGCGTTGCAAAAGTAGTTAACAGTTTGAAAGGCAATTGAAAAAAAAATAACAAACGATAACAAAAAGTAAAGTCACGTAGAAGGGAAACAATAAAATAATAAAAAATATTTTTAAAAATTATGATTGCTTGTGTTGCAGTCGAAACGTCGTGAGAATTTTATTGTTTTATATATTTTTTTATTTTATTGTTTCCCTTCTACGTGATTTTACCGAAAGAACCAAGAATATGAATCCCTGCAGTCACGAAAGCTTTAAATAAAAAAAATAAAACAAAAGTTTAATCGAAGGCTAACCTTTGCCGCTTGCTCGGTTTTTTTTTATACGGTTACAGATGAGTTTATCTTATATACATACTGTATCTTTATTTCCACACTCACACGTGTGTCTGAGCTTACAAAAGAGTGAGGGCACTTCTAATAGAGTGCAGGATTTAATTGAATTCGGGGACTTACTGTTCGTATTGTTATTATTAATGATACTATTAATAATACCACGACGTCAATACATCGACAGTAATTATTTGGTGATCATCACATTACAGTCAAAGCAAGACACAGCATCATCATCATTCATTATTAACAGCAGTACTCATTTTTTTATTTAAAGCTTTCGTGACTGCAGGGATTCATATAAAACATATTTTTAATTTATTGTTTCCCTTCTACGTGACTTTACCGAAAGAACCAAGCATATAGCAGTACTCAACTTTCACAATAGCACTTCGGGAAAACACTCGAGGGGAGGGAGGGAGGGAGGGAGGGGGGGGGCAGGTGGGTGGGTGGCACCGCAATGCGTAAAAATCGGAACGCGTCGTTCACGCGCAATGCGTCCATCGGTGTTCGTTTGGTTCACGGGACGATGGACGGGTGAAGAACGTGAGGATGCGGACGGATGCCTCACAGGGCGCGAGCAACAACAACAACGAAACACCTCGCGTCTCCGATCGATCCGAGGGATATCCGCAGGGATTGAAGTTGTATAACCTCCCCCCGCCCCCCCCGCCTTCGCGTGATGCCATCGACTGTATCCGCATCTTAAAGCAATGCAGGAACAAATGCAAGAGCGTACGACGATTTCGTAAATGTTTCTCTTTGTTTTCGCGTGCGTGAGACGACAACCCGAACGTAGCGAGGCGGTGACACGTTACCTTTCAAGTAGTTTGTGGGTTTTTGGTTTTGTTTCGGAAGCGCTTTGCATGTTTACAAAAAAAGGGCCACATATTCGATCATTTGGCGAAACGACCGAACGTGCGTACGACTTTCGTTGGCGATATGTCCCTCCCCCGCCACCCCCCCCCCCCACAATTTGTGATGGAGACATCGACCCAGTAGCTTGCTCAGCACAACATTTGGACGTGAAGGAACAGTTCTGTCACGATGTGAGAATCCGGCACTCATTTCCTTCTGCTGCTGCTGATGATGGTGAGTGTCTGAAGCGTCACGTCCTGTGGTGTCGGCTACTAAAGTGCAACCTCGCAAAAGAAGTTTATCAAAATCGGTCAAAACCCCTTGGCGCTGCTGAGCCGACGTTGGTGGAACGTCCACTGCGCTCCACCAGGGACCAGTCTATGATACGTCGACCGAGTTGAGCGGGTTGCTTTGTACAACGAGTTGCATTTGACCCACGCAGCTGCGTATCGGTATTACAGCAGACGTCCTGAACAATTGTTTTTGCTTACGTTCAAGACACAAGTAGCGGAAAAAGGTCACAAAGCTCACCACCGACAACAACAACAACAACAGCGGACACAGTCCCCATGCGGATGACTTGAAGATTCAATAGGCGCGGGCCCCGTGCGTGTGTGCGCCTGCAAATGTGCCTGTGTATGTGAGCTTGTGTGTGTGCCCGTGTATGCTTGCTAGCAGCAATTGCCACCAACAGTCTAAGGTTATGCGGTGGATATTAGTGTCCGTGCGCCTGCGTGTGTCCCTGTGTGTGTGTGCCTATGCGCGTGTGCGCCTGTGTGTTGTGCCATTGCGTTTGTGCGTCTGTGTGTGTGCGCGCGTGCGCGTATGTGCGTGTCAGTCCTGTGAGCCGCGTTAACGTCTCAATCATAAGCTGCGTCAATAATGTAAAAAAAACATGTTTAAGCCGCGCGAGGAAGTGGACTTTAGATGAATTTTCGCGGTTCAAAAACAAAAAAAAACGCACGCGAGCGAGCGAGCGCCCGATCGATCTATCTATCGATCATCATCATCATCATCACGAGCGGCAGCAGCTGTGGCAGAGCGAGTTCGCTACGTACCTCGGCGCGGGGGAGCGAGCCACGATCTCAGCCCGCAGGTGAACGGTGCGGCACAGCCAGGAAACCGGGGAGGAAGAACAACACAGAGAGAAAGAGAGAAGGGACGGTTATTGTTGTTGTTGTGGTTGTGGTTAGCCCCTCAATAGGGATGGGGGGGGGGGGGACGAGAGGTGAACACAGCCCGCATCGAGCCGAGTGTCCATCCGCAATGCACCCGCGACAGGCGATGTCGCGTCCCCCCCCCCCCCCTCTCTCTCTCATCGAGTTAATTTCACCCCCCCCCCACCCACACTGAACCCTGCGGAGAACGATGCCAGCCCCCCCCCCTCCCTCTGCCACAAACCCCCTCGCCCCCCCCGCCCCTCCTCTGCCCCGCTCTCAGCAGAGAGTTTTCCGCAAAAGATGAATTCGTACGCTTCGACTGTCTTATCGTATGGTGATGAAGGGCAGTGGTTGTGTCTTACGTGAACTTTACGTGTGTGTATATATATACGTGTGCAGATTGAACAAATAGACGACGTCAAAACGAACCACCCGCAACGCACTCGAGATTTTGTTATTTTTTTAAATTCTGCTATCGTCTGGTTCCATTCGTCTGTCGTTCTCGTCCACCTGCGGTGTCACCCCGACGCCGACGCCGCGAGTTGCCAACCCCTCTTCCCGAATCGTCTGCGCAGCGTTGGAGAGAGAGAGAGAAAGGGGGGAAAGATAACATACCGGCGGGTATTCTCTCTCTCTCTCTCTAACTATAGGAAGGTCTGATTACAAGCCCCCTTCTCAGACGAAAGTGCAAAAAACAATTCCGCTTGGTTTACAAACTATAGCAATTCAAAGATGAGTGCATCTATATACACACACACAGTATATTCGCTGATTGACTTCTGCAAAGTAGTTGCTAATGATCGAGAGGGTTAGAGAGAGAGAGAAACAAGTTGACCGAAATAACGGAACCGGCGTCTAACAGTGAGGAGGAGGCGGAGAATCTCTGGTGAGAGCCCTTACCGGGGGTCCAGGGGATGGCCGGCGGGAACGTGGCGCTCGAGTCGCCGGATGCTGCTGCCTCCCATCGCCTTCGTCTCTCTCCCCTCTCTCTAGCTGACCCCATCGCCTTCGTCTCTCTCCCCTCTCTCTCTCGCTGACCCCATCGCCTTCGTCTCTCTCCTCTCTCTCGCTGACCCCCATCGTCTTCGTCTCTCTCCTCTCCTCTCTCCTCTCTCTCTCGCTGACCCCATCGCCTTCATCTCTCTCCTCTCTCTCTCTCGCTGACCCCATCGCCTTCGTCTCTCTCCCCTCTCTCTCTCGCTGACCCCATCGCCTTCGTCTCTCTCCCCTCTCTCTCTCTCGCTGACCCCATCGCCTTCGTCTCTCTCCTCTCTCTCGCTGACCCCATCGCCTTCGTCTCTCTCCTCTCCTCTCTCTCGCTGACCCCATCGCCTTCGTCTCTCTCATCTCCTCTCCTCTCTCTCGCTGACCCTCATCGCCTTCGTCTCTCTCCTCTCTCTCGCTGACCCCCATCGTCTTCGTCTCTCTCCTCTCCTATCTCCTCTCTCTCGCTGACCCCATCGCCTTCGTCTCTCTCCTCTCTCTCGCTGACCCCCATCGCCTTCGTCTCTCTCCTCTCCTCTCTCCTCTCTCTCGCTGACCCCATCGCCTTCGTCTCTCTCCCCTCTCTCGCTGACCCCCATCGCCTTCGTCTCTCTCCTCTCCCCACTCTCTCGCTGCGCGCCGCAGCTGCTGCACACTTCTTACCCGACTCCATTTCGCGCGCGGACCACCGTCTCAGGCGAGCCGTCGTGTCGACCCCCCCCCCCTGCCCCCCCCCCACACACTTTCCCTCCCCCCCCCCTCCATCTCCGCACTTCCCTCCAAGTTAACGTAGCTGCAGCCGCCGTCTTTGCCACAGACCCCGGCGACGGAACGACTTCGGTGACAGCTCGCGTTTTTTTTTTCTTTCGGGGGGGGGGAGGGTGGACGAGATGAGTGGGAGAGAGACGAGCGAGAGAGACGAGAGAGAGAGACGAGAGAGAGACGAGCGAGCTAGAGAGAGAGACGAGAGAGAGAGACGAGAGAGAGAGAGACGAGAGAGAGACGAGAGAGAGAGAGACGAGAGAGAGAGACGAGAGAGAGAGACGAGAGAGAGAGAGACGAGAGAGAGAGACGAGAGAGAGACGAGATAGGAGCCCACGGCACATCCCGTCCGCGCAGAGGTTTGCCTTAAAATGCATAAAAATAATAGCGGCAGAAACAAGTGATATGTGTGTCAAAAAAAAAAGAGTTCACGATCATCATCATCATCATCGCTGCGGATTCGCGTCGTGACTGCGCTCGGCCAATGGGACGCGCTGTGATGCCGACCCCCGCCCCCCACGTTACCCCACCCCCCATTGCCCCCCCCCCCCCAACGTTACCCCCCCCCACACCCCATTCTTCTCTTCTCTCCCCCCGCGTCCCAGGAGTTGTAAATTCTGTCGCGGATTGCGGCACTAAGGGGTCCGGCGGCCATGTTGAGAGCGTGGGAGGACGAGGAGGAGGAGGAGAGAGGAGCAAGCGAGGAGCAAGCGAGGGGCAGCCGCAGTGAGACAAAGACGGTGCTGCTCTTTGGGGGCAGCGGTGGGGGCAAGGGGAGGAGGAGACGGGGGGGGGGGGCGGCGAGGAGGGGGAGGTTGCGGTGGGGGAGGGAGCAACAGGGTTAGGCGTGGAGACTCATTCCGCGGTGAAATCTCGGCAGAGATTTTGTTCACGTAATGTTGTTTTTTTTTAAATTCAATATAATAATAATTATTAAAAAGGCAAATGTTTGTTTTTTCAAAGTGTTGCAACTTTTTTTTGTTACAGAACTTTGCGGCGAACCTGAGTCCGGGCCGCGCGGCGAGGAGCGAAGTCTCCCCCCCCCCCCGTTTTTGCCGATGAGCCCCAGAAAAGTTCCCCCCCAAATCAGGGCAAACGCGGGGGTCCCGAGCGCGTAACGCGAGTTGTGTTTACGCGCGGAGCGACAGATTCTGCTGCTTGCTGCTGCTTGCTGTCGGTTGACAGGAGTCTGGGAAGGCAACGTAGGCCGATGGACTAAGCATCGATTATCACTCACTCCGTTACGAGGTTACCCAGTTGGATAATTCGTTGCGTGCGCGCTGCCACGAAACCCCCACGCGGCTCCCCAAGCGAAGGGGCGCGGGGCGCCAACCCGCCGCTCGTCGCAGTTGCGAGCGACAGTAAAATAATGCAACCGCTCTGACCTCAGTTTTGGCCGAACATTTCCCAACCGAGTTGCGCGCGAGTTCGCGTTCGAGAGTCCAGTTGCACGCGACTCCCCCGGCGGTGGTGATTGTTGGTGTTGATGTTGGTGGTGGTGGTTGTTGTTGGTGGCGCGCTGCGCTAAGGAACCCGACGATGAGCTGAATCGGTCCTCCGTCTACCTCTTTGTCGTTGTTGATGGTGGAGGTTGTTGATGGTGGAGGTTGCATGCAACTCGCGCTGAAAGACGGCGACTCTCAACCATCGCCGACCCGCCGACATAGAGTCCTGTACTTTAATGGAACCACGAAAGAGCTAGCGCCTCTTTCTCTCTCTCTCTCTCCACATTGAAACAAACGTGTAATAATAATAACAACAGCGATGGGTTCATTCTGTTCGCGCAACATATCCTCTGCACGGTCATCTCTGCGAGAGCATCTTGTCGAGTGCGGAGTTGTTGTTGTTGTCGCTGCTTCAAATCACAGTCGTTGATTGCGCGATCGCCTGATCGGTTTCGCTATTTCGAGCGGGCAGAGTCTGACTTGGGCACGCGAGCAGATGCCCGGCGTGGACTGCCCGGTGTTTTATAATCGGCAAAGACGAATGAATGGGCACAGACGGCCAGGAATGTTCGGTCGAGAGCGCGCATTTAAGTCGTCATTATTATTGTTGGAATTTGTTAACAAGAGACGCCAACGGAACCGCCTCGACTTGGCGCTCGCGGGCGTCACTCAAACGGCGCTGATTCTGAGCACGGGGATTCTCCATCATTCGTAGAATCGTGAGACGCGTGGATGAAGAGAGAGAGAGAGGTGGTGGGTGGGAGGCTCTGATGTGGTATTAGGCGAATGTAATGTTGTCGTTATTATGTTTTGATATTATTCTTGAAAGTAACAATTAAAACGAAGAAGTCCCTACGACTAACGTGTGCATTCTCTACATTTTGGTTTTATTTTTGTGAAAAAAACCCTCCAAAATAATGCGATGATACAAACAAATTTCGGCATGTTGCATTTTCGGCATGTTGCATTAGCATGTTGCATGAGCATGTTACATTAGCTAAAACTCGTATTGCGTTCGTGAGTAAGACACGTTTTGGCGTTTGGGGAAATACAGTGCAGTACTTTATACAACAAACGCGATGTTTTTTTTTAGAAGTTATGCACTGTATTTATGTGCAAGTAGCGTGTTACGCACAGACTAGGAATACGGGTGCCTCCTTCACGAATAAAAAGGGGCTTGAAGGTCATGGAGATAGTAATACTCGAAGCATTAATATTTTAAATGTACGTACTTTTGAGACCCACGCCGGGTCATGAGACTTCCTTTCTGCTGCGTTTCTTCTTTTATAACGAGGTGCTGGTAATGCATTAAAACTGTAAAACCGCACAACTGTCAGCCCTCATTTGTTTTCTATATACACACAAACACACACACATATATATAATGGTTACGTGCCTTTAGTCACGGACACACAAACAACTGTGTGGAGTATACTGCATCACATTACGTGCGAGGAGAGTTTATAAAATATATTCGTAACGTGACATGAGTAAATCAGAATTCCTAATCAGAATATTTATTTGTGGAGGAATCCGATCAACTATTAAGCTATTTTTTTTTAAACAGATGTCCAGTAGGTGCGGCCTGTGTATTGCACTGCTAGCAAAAACACGCTAGCAGTGCAATATACAGGCATGGCAAACAAATCACCCAAAAACATACAGATTTAACTAAACCATCCTACCGGGCAAAGCCCACCGTAGGTATAAAACGTATTCTTCCAGAAGCGGCCTTGCTAAAAATTATAGCTTCAACGAAGTGGCTCATCATCCTGCTCTCTCCTCTCGCAGTACTGAAATCCACCCAACTGCTGTCTTACTGAGTGCGCATCCAACGTGGTTGTTGCAGAAAGATGAAGCAAATTCACAGATTTTATATAGAATAACGGACGGTACCATCAAAAGCCGCAGTGTGTGCATGTGTATGTGGGTCGCTGCGCTACGAACCCGGCTCACGGCCAACACCAGCGACGATTTTCTGAACCGGTCCTGGGCTTCCCCTAGGTCGACTCAGCCTCAAATGAGTACCTGGTGCGATGTGTAAACATCGCCACTGGGGAGACAAAGGCGGCCGGGCGTGGTGCTGGCCACCCACCCCCTCGCGTGCCGTTCCGGCCTTCATAGGCGCTGCTCGCTAACAGCGCTTGCCCCAACAGTCTGTTAAAGGCTATACGGGGGATCTTTATCTTGATGCATGTTCGTGGGGAGCGGTAGTGTAGTGGTTAGCGCATCTGCACTACACGAACTCGGCGACCCGAGTTCTATTCTCGCTCACGACCAAAAAGCCATCGCAGTGGATAGATATTTTAACCAGCTCTGCGCTCCCCGACACCACACGCGCGCACACTGCTGCAGTTTGGCAGCGTTCTTCAAATAAAAAAAATGCCTCTTTAAAATAAAAAAATAATATTATTATTATTATCATTGCGTGTACTGAAATGCCCCGATGTTTACGAGCCTAGCTTGGCCCATGCCGACGAGAGAAATGAAGCCGTTGTCTCGATGGGTTTACTCATTTCTCCTGGTTGAATGAAAGGATACCGGTTGACTCAGCCTAAAACGAGTTGCTCGGCACGGTGTGTAACCATCAGCACTGGGGAGACAAAGGCGGCCGGGAGATTTCGTTGATCGCCCAACACCCCCATCCCCGCGTGCTGTGCCGGCCTCCATTGGTGCGTTGACGTTAACCGATTGACGTTAATAGTGTTTTGTTTTTAATATTTGAGCGTGAAACAGATGCTTTGTCAGTTTTATGTATGTATGTGTGCGTTGTGCAAATCGTGCTGCGCCCTGGTGCCTACAGTTATCCCAATGTTAACCTCGACGTAACGCTTCGTGCAAATGCGATAACAATTATTATCAAACGCTTTTGATAAACCTTTCCTCGTTCATTAGCTGGCAGAAAATCAACCACAGGGACACGACGAGAACTGGAAACAATTTAACAGGCGCGAAAGAAGCCGTTTCAGAAACGACATTCTCCATCATCACCCCAGTCCTCGACCGTCCGTGCGATATCAGCGACCCATTCTCGCCGAGTACAATAAGAAGACAAAGATTCCCCCGTGTAGCCTCAACAGACTGTTGGGGCAAGTGCTGTTAGCGAGTAGCACCTATGAAAGCCGGTTGGCCAGCGTCGCGTCCGGCCGCCTTTGTCTCCCGAGTGGGTGATGTTTGCACTCCCCCGCCAGGTTCCTCATCTGTTGAGGCCGAGTCGACCTAGGGGGAGGCCCAGGAGACCGGTTCAGATAATCGACAGCGGTGTTGGTGGCCGTGAGCGGGGAATCGAACTCGGCTCTCGCCGGCCTCGCAGCGCAGTTACCGCTTCTCAGTTTGGCAGCGTTCTTCAAATAAAAAAAGTGCTCTTTAAAATAAAAATATTATTATCATTGCGTGCACTTAAATGCCCCGATGTTTACGAGCCCAGCTTCGGCCCATGCCAACGAGAAAAAAATGCAGCCGTTGTTTCAATGGGTTTATTCATTTCTCCTGCTTCAATAAAAGGATACCGACTTTACTCACCGGCGACACAACAACAACAGCCACCACCACCACCACCGCCGCCGCAACAGCAACAACAAACACTCGCACGATAAAGCACAGCGTGCCCGGCTACATGCGCCTCAAAGCGCTGCCCGTTCTATACACCGCGCTAATCATTGCTGGACGTAACAAAGAGGAGCGGAAATGACTCTAGGTATGTAACAGCCGCCGGCAATAACAGCAGCGTGAGAGGCAACCTGGTGCGATTGGGGGGGGAGATAGGGGGGGTTGAGGCCTTCAGCCCTGGACCGCTATCAAAGTCATAAACACTCAGGGGGGTAATTAACAGGTCCTGCCCCTTATCCCGCTCATTTCTCTCTCTTTCCGTTGTGCGAGCGATTCCTCGATCTAATCTCGCTCTCTGTGAGTATTATGGGTGGTCGAGACTGCAGTTGAATTTTGCCAGAGTTGTACGCGTTCCATGAAGTGTGCTCTGAACAACAAGAACTGTGAGATTTTTTTATTGTCTTATATTTTTATTGTTTCCCCTTCTACGTGACTTTATCGTAAGAACCAAGAATACGAACCGAGCTTGAAAACGTTGACAAAATATAAACACATTGACACCAGGGAGGTCTGTCTATTCAACAACGTATCCGCAATACATATTATCCCACATACAGGGTGCTTCGAAGCAATGTTACAAATTCTGAGAATTTGCAACAACACCACGAGAATTGTGGCGCCTCCGAGCTCTGGAGAGCACCTGCAGACGATTCCAACCACGTGTCGACAACAACGATGGCGAACAAGTGGAGACTGAAATTTTGATTCGGAGCTTTCGTGACTGCAATAATGCATATCCTTAGCTCTTTCGTTCGGTAAAGTCACGTTTCAGGAAAACAATAAAACGTGACTTTTTACCGAAAGAGCTAAGAATAAGTGGAGACTGGCTTTTTGAAGATATTAAACATTCGTTATCACGTCACAGTATTTTATCCGGGTTGTTTTTCCCCACTAAAAACGATAGTCCCATATATAAGTGCCGCATTTTTTTTAAGCACGCTGTATATGTGTGTGTGTGTGCATGCATGTGAGCGGTGACCGCAAATGTTTAACGCGCTGAGATGTGAACACGGCTTGCGAGCCGATTTTAATTCCCGGCCAACAGCCAACATCGCTGGCGAGGGATAATCTGAACCGGCAGTTCGCGGGTGCTCAAATTGACGAGCCCGCATTGACCAACGCGGTGAAGTATGGTCCAGCGACTCCCATGATTTTACACGTAGTTAGGATGTCTTCAAACCCAGCAGTGGTTTCGTAAAAGGAGCTGTAAACTGTTTGTTTGATTTTTTGTTTTATTTTTCTACCTACATGACTTTACCGAAAGAACCAAATAGCATATGGATTCCAGCAGTCACGAAAGCTTCAAATCAATATGAAACTGTTTGTTGTTGGGTTTTTGTTGTTGTTATTACTACAACATTATTATTTATATCGTTATATAAAGACGTGGATCTGCCGAAATAAATCAACATCGTGTTTGTACTCAACCGACCACTCGTTCAACAGGCAAAGATCCCCCCGTATAGCCTTTGACGGACCGTTGGGCCAAGTGCATTGTTGTTCGCGAGCACCTCGGAAGGTCGGAGCAACGCACGGAAGGCGGTGGATTGCTCAACGCCACCACCACGACGACGCCTGGCCACCTTTGTCTTCCCAGGCGCTGATGTTAACGCACCAGCGGATAACTCACCGGGGGGCCCATGCAGGACCCCTTCTCAAATCGTTCGCCACTCTTACCGGGCCGTCAATATCGGTGCAACGGAATCCCGCTCGTCGGTTTCTTAGCGTATGTCGGCACGAACCACCGGCACCCACCGACTGCCCATCACGCACGTACGCACGTACGCACCCACGCACCCACACACCCACACCACGTTCATTCTTCTCGACTCCTTTTGGAGAGGCCACAAGGCCTGGTTTTTTTTTTAAAGCTTGGGGAGTTTATGACCTCGCTTTGAAATCTCCCCCCCCCCCCCCCCGGCACACAAGATACTCCCCGCGCGCGCTGTGATCGCGCAATAAACGGAGCGTTTGGAGGAGGAGGGGGGGGGGGCGAGATCGTGGCTGGCGATGTTGGACAATAACGAGAAGTTCGGGTCCTGTCTGGGTGGCTGCGGTGGGGGGCGGGGGTGTAATAATATCCCCTTCTTCAAAAACATTTTTGACCGGGCATTGTTTCGAGCAGGGGGGGGGGGCGGGGGGGGGCTGGTCGGCGTGCAGGCTCCCGAGAGGACTGGCTTCGTGGACGTTATTTATTGAGAAACTCCGTCTCTCCAATTTACGCGCATTGTTTGCTACAAGAAGAAAACATTGTTACAGAGTTCGAACAAAAAAATAGCCTCTTCGTGATGAAAAATAAGAATAGCTTTTACCCTTTCTGGCAATGAAACAGTTGCGTCAAGATGTTCAAATACCAAGTAGATCGGGTGCCTTTTGGCGAGGCAAACAAAACAACGGAGCCGTGAATATGGCTCTGCTTGTGATGTTGGTTTGTTTGCCGACACGTGGTGCAGAGGACACATCTGGAGAGCGTGACGCGGCCCTGTGCCCGCCCGCGTGGGGAGCCGGTAGTGTCGTGGTTAGTTTTCAGTTCCATTTATTAGGTACTAGCGGTAAGTACCCGGCGTTGCCCGGGCGAAAGAGACAAACACACACACACACACACACCGACGTACACACAGACATCGACCCACACACATAGAATCACATCGACTTACACACACACACATATGGACTCACCCTGTGAGCCATGCGGCTCTTGATTCGGGTGCAACCACAACAAAACACAAACAAGAAACATATTAAAGTGACTACGCGAAAACATAAAAATCCCGGCGACCCGAATTCGATTCCCACCCACGGCTATTATCAGCGACAAGTCATCTGAACGAGTCACGCGACTCACCTAGGTCGACTCAGTCATTTTGACGAGCACCCGATGCGGTGTTTGTAGCTATCAGCACTGGGAAGACAAAGGTGGCCGGGAGTGGTGTTGGTCACTCCATTACCACCCCCCCCCATAGTGCCGGCATGTTATAGGTGATCGCTAACAGCACCTGCCCCAAAAATGCTGTTCAGGCTTTCTGTGTGTGCACGTGAGTGCATGCACGGCGATTCGTACCAACAACCGGTACACGTGTGTACCTGTGTGCCTGCGCTACGAACCCGGCCCCCTGAGTTCGATTCCCGCTCACGGTCCAACACCGGTGACAATGATCCGAGCCGGACTTGGGCCTCCCCTAGGTCGACTCAACCTCAAATTAGCACCTGGTGCGGTGTGAAAGCATCGCTACTGGGGGAGACAAAGGCGGCCGGGCGTGGTGCTGGTCACCCACACCGTCGTGAACCGTTGCGGCCTTCACAGGTGCTCGCCAACAGCGCTTGCCTCAACAGTCTGTTACAGACTATACGGGGGATCTTTGTCTTTGTCTCTATAGTAGTGCGACCGCGTTGCAATTGCGTACAAATGTCCCTCGTATTTATCTTTCGGTAAAGTCACGTAGACGGGTTGTGTTTGCGATCGAAACGTCGAAATTTTTTGCCACTTCATTTTCGTTGAACCTATCAACGTGACTTTACCGAAAGACCCAAATCATATGAATTCCTGCAGCCACGAAAAGCTTTTAAGTCAAGATTTCATGGACAGCGAATCGCGCACCAAGGCCTCTCTCGCACGCGGTCCGAGCTCGGCTCACTCCTTGATGTCGACCGTCTTCTCGCCGTCTTGACTCTCCTCCACCTCGTCCTCCACCATCTCCTCCCCTTCCTCCACCTCTTCACGCCGCGCGTCAATGCCTCGACGCTCCTTCTTCCACTTCATGCGCCGGTTCTGGAACCAGATCTTGACCTGGCGCTCGCTCAGGCACAGCGAGTGCGCGATCTCGACTCGACGTCTCCGGGCGAGGTAGCGGTTGAAGTGGAACTCCTTCTCCAGCTCCAGGCTCTGGTGGCGCGAGTAGCTCCTCCTGCCCTTCCTACCGTCGTGTCCTGCGGGCGGAGAGCGAAGCGCGCACGTGGGTAGCGGCAAGAGCAGAGGGCCCGTGGTGGTGGTGGTGGTAGCGGCGACGGCGGCAAACCGCGGCTGCGGGGGGCAACAGCAGCAGCAGCAGCAGCAAGGGCAGCAGCACCAGCAGCAGCAAGGGCAACAGCAGCAGCAAGGGCAACAGCAGCGGCTACAGCAGCAGCGGAGGAAACAGTAACAGCGGTGGCCATAGCAGCAGCAGCAGCGGCGGCCGCAGCGGCAAAAAGCAGCGGCAACAGCAGAAGCAGCAGCAGAAGCAGCAGCAACAGCAGCAGCAGGGGCAGCAGCAGCAGGGGCAACAGCAGCAGCAATAGCAGGGGCAACAGCAGCAGCGGCGGCAACAGCAGCGGCGGCAACAACAATGACGAGGCCGACCGGGAGTCTCGAGTTTCACGTTGCCACGAGAGAGGATACGACGCCCCGCGTGTTCGCTTCGGCGTCGCGACGAGGCACGCTGGGCACGCTTTCCGCACGATGCGATTTCAACCTCAAAGGAGCATCCGAGTGAATTATGTTTACAATTATAACGACGATATGCGAATGCCTCCTATTCACGTCTTCCATAAGAGCGGCTGCGTAGGGTGCGAAAGAAGTTCAACATGCATACGTATACAAGCGGAATTGCGTTATGTGTCTCTAAATACAAATAATATATATACATGTATATCAATTCTGGACCGATTTTCATCTTCTGGTTTTCAAGATCTGAACGGGTCCGGAGTTTGCTCGTTTAAGCACATGCTGCTGGATTTATAAAATATACCGGTCGGAGAAAGCCAATAGATTTAAAATATTTTTTGTATTTTACTTATCCGTGGACACCGTACGGGAGCACTTGATGCACAAACGGAAAATGACAAAATCTCCGGCGACTGCGCTCACCACCCAGAACAGAACCATGGACCCGTGGAACGTCGACTCAATGCCCCGTTCACAAACACGAAGGCCGAGGCGGCGGCGTCGTCACGGTAGCGATTCACCACTCCGCTACTCGCCCGACTCCGCAAAATCGTCTGGCCAGATCGACCACCGCGATGGAAGATCACAGCTGTTACAGTAGAGCAACAGCTGTGACCCATACGAAGGAGATATCCATAGACTCGCACTGAGACCCGTAGGACTCGCATCGAGATTCACAAACTTACACAGACATCTAGATTCACACGGAGCCCATAAAATTCGCATAGTGGCCCACAAACTTACACACATCTAGATTCGCACGAAGACCCACAGATCACATAGAGACCCACAGACTCACAGAGATATATGGATTTACACTGAGACACACAAAGAGCTATAGAATCACACTAAGACCCATACTCACAGGCGTACACATATCTAGATTCACACTGAGACCCACAGATTCAGATAGAGACCATTAGACTCACACATAGATATATATATAGATTCATATATAAAACCATTGACTTAATACACAGAGACCCACAGACACACAGCTATCTATGGATTCACACCGACACCCAGACTCGCATAGAGAAACACACTCACACAGATCTATAGGCTTACGAATATCAATATGAACTATCATCACAGCAGCGATTCACCGCACTCCTTAACTCCCCGACTCCGCACTCACCTGGCCCATCGACCACCTCGCTGTAACATTACAGCTGTTGCTCTACAGCAAGATAAGCAGCTATCCCAATGCAAGGTCCCTTGCCGAACAACGAGAATCGAGGCCTTCTCTGGTTACTGGAGGGAAGCGGGAGTCGCATTATTGTTGTTAACATTGACTTGGTCGCCGAATATACACGCGCACAGCCCGCTTCACCACGCTCTCACCACGGATCTCCCTTGTAACGCAACACAATCCGGGCAAACTGGCTAAACGGGATCTTCCTATGCGTTAAGAAATCTAAGTACTGTAACGTTAAACGTACGATGATGATGAAGAACGTGCTGCACACATGTTCACAACACCTGCGACCGATACACCCGCCACGCGCCCCGATCTCGCCCAGATCTCGATCAGATCTCGCCAAGATTTTGCCGGATCTCCCCCAGAACTCGCACCGATCTCACCCTGATCTCGGCCGAGATCTCGGCACGAACTCTGCCGGATCCCGCACCGATCCCGCCAAGATCTCGGCCAAGACCCCGCCAAGATCTTGGCTTGATCTCGCACCGATCTCGCCTTGATCTCGGCCAAGAGCTCGGCCAGATCTCCACCGGATCTCGTACCGATCTCGTCGGATCTCGCAAGCTGAGCTGAGCCTGGTTGCGACTGCACTTGGAGATTATTTTGATTATTTTCCTGCTATAGATGTCCACGTGATAAGCCACTTTTGTTGAGCTATCATTTGTAGCCACGTCTCTTCTGAAAAGTGAGTTAATACCTCAGTGGGCTTCACCTGGCGGGACAAATATTAGTTGAGTTTTTATTTGTATATTTTACGTGATTTGTTTACTTTTCCTACACTTTGCACTCCTATCGTGTTTTTTTTACTGTTTGTTGTTGTCACGATCTGACCCCGTGCCCCTACTGGACATCTGTAAAAAATAAAGAGCTTTATAGCTCATCGGATTCTTCCGGCACAAAATAAACAGTCTGATTGTGAACGGGAAGCCGCCTGTGACACGGAATACGTCACCGTGGTGGGCATTGTTGCCCTGTGCTGCGACGTCGCAGAGAGGTGGTAGCTCAGCGATCCAATGGTTGGACTCTCCATGAGGCCCACCCTCTCGTGTACCGTTCCGGCCTTCATAGGTGCTACTCGCTAACGGCACTTGCCTCTACAGTCTGTTAAGGCTATACGGGGGATCTTTGCCTTTTGTCTGTGGCTAGGGGAGGGGGGGTTCTCCTGGATTATTTATAGTGTTTTTTTTTTCTCTCTCTCCGGGATCTCTCTCAGTTCATCCCGCATATAGTACAGGGTGCTTCAAAAAAATGTGAACACTTCCGAGAATTTGCAACAACACCACGTGACATGTACTGTTGCCTCCGGGCTCTGGAGACGACCTGGAGAAGATTCCAGGCACGCGTTGACAACGAGGGCGAACGACTGGAGACTTTTTTTTAAGCTATTATCATACATTAGTTATCACATTACGGTGTATTATCCGTTCTTTTTCACATTAAAAAAAACGATTGCCCCGTGTAAGTGTTAACATTATTTTTGTCTGCACCCTGTATTGCTAAGCCACTCAACGGTTGAATCGGCGAAACATTCCCCCGATGCAATACCCTCGTGGAAAGCAAGAGCCGAGGCTTTACTGGGTCAATAAAGGCACATTGAGAGGATTGCCGTCGTTTATTGTTGGTACGACGGCGTGGAACGCGTGTACGCTGAGATCCTCACTTGAATCGGCTCTATGAACGCAGATGCCGTTGTGTCTATGTGTGTTGAATTTGTTACGTAGCCAAGCGTGCTAATCCGCAATTCGAAAGAAATGAGTTTTCAATCAAACAAGAAATTACCCTTTCAATCCAGAAGCGTTCATTGCTTAGCGCGGGATCACGTTCAACAATCGTCGGGCGCGTGCAGCGTGGAACGAGTTCATTGGTATCTGAATGTGGAAGAGTGTTTTGATAAACGCGGGAGGGCCTAGTAGCGTAGTGGTGGTGGTGGGCCACGAGCACTGGGAGTTGGAAACTATGGCATGGACCATTACTATATGAAACCCAACATGTCTTGAAACAACAATGACAATTAATGTATAGCTATATGCACATTGTGTAAATACTCGTCTCTGGCCCAGACATTGCTGCAGGCGTTCGACGAGGGGTGAATACATCAATGCTTCTGGAATGGATGTCCGATCCGTTATTCTGTCAGTCAGTCGTTGCACATATCGTGACTATTTGTATCGCGGGGAAAAACTTAATTTACGTCGTTTTAATATTTTGTTTATTTAGGGATTTGTATTGTTATTCGTTCAAATACAGTGAGGGAAAAAATATTTGATCCCCTGCTGATTTTGTACGTTTGCCCACTGGCAAATAAATGATCAGTCTATAATTTTAATGGTAGGTTTATTTGAACAGTGAGAGACAGAATAACAACAACAAAATCCAGAAAAACGCATGCCAAAAATGTTATAAATTGATTTGCATCTTAATGAGGGGAAATAAGTATTTGACCCCTCTGCAAAACATGACTTAGTACTTGGTGGCAAAACCCTTGTTGGCAATCACAGAAGTTGGACGTTTCTTGTAGTTGGCCACCAGGTTTGCACACATCTCAGGAGGGATTTGTCCCACTCCTCTTTGCAGATCTTCTCCAAGTCATTAAGGTTTTGAGGCTGACGTTTGGCAACTCGAACCTTCAGCTCCCTCCACAGATTTTCTATGGGATTAAGGTCTGGAGACTGGCTAGGCCACTCCAGGACCTTAATGCGCTTCTTCTTGAGCCACTCCTTTGTTGCCTTGGCCGTGTGTTTTGGGTCATTGTCATGCTGGAATACCCATCCACGACCCATTTTCAATGCCCTGGCTGAGGGAAGGAGGTTCTCACCAAATATTTGACGGTGCATGGCCCCGTCCATCGTCCCTTTGATGTGGTGAAGTTGTCCTGTCCCCTTAGCAGAAAAACACCCCCAAAGCATAATGTTTCCACCTCCATGTTTGACGGTGGGAATGGTGTTCTTGGGGTTTATAGGCAGCATTCCTCCTCCTCCAAACACGGCGATTTGAGTTGATGCCAAAGAGCTCCATTTTGGTCTCATCTGACCACAACACTTTCACCCAGTTGTCTTCTGAATCATTCAGATGTTCATTGGCAAACTTCAGACGGGCATGTATATGTGCTTTCTTGAGCAGGGGGACCTTGCGGGCACTGCAGGATTTTAGTCCTTTACGGCGTAGTGTGTTACCAATTGTTTTCTTGGTGACTATGGTCCAGCTGCCTTGAGATCATTGACAAGATCCTCCAGTGTAGTTCTGGGCTGATTCCTCACCGTTCTCATGATCATTGCAACTCCACGAGGTGAGATCTTGCATGGAGCC